TTCTCCCTAATTAGATTGAAATCTGAACAATGTCTTGGCAACAGCTTCATACTGGGTGTAAATCAGGGCCCCAAGACCCTCACCTAGCCCCTTTCCCTAGACTCCTTGGTCCTCTTCTCTGAGAGCTGGGCTGAGACCCCCTGTCGCATGACTCTGGACCACTCCTCTCTCTGCAAAGGTAGAAGAAGTGGCCGTGGACCCTCAAAACACTCAGTAGGTCCCCTTACTTAGTTCCACGCTTGCACTGGTTGTCTAGACCCACGTACTATACCTGTTTCTAGAGCCAGGATGTGAGTGAGTCAGCTGTACCAAAACGTGTGGCTGAAGGTAAGGAAGAGGGTTTCCCCAGGGGCACGGGGAAACCACTCCGTGATTTCTTTACTCTCACACTAATAATACATGCACACTCTTGACACCAGATGTGCAGGGGTTCCCACACATTGCACCAAGCAATTCTCTGCCATACCAACTGGAGGTCAACTCTGGAGGTCAACTCAGTTCTGTTCTGGCACTAACTGATGTTCGTGCAGACCTTACAGGTGAAGGGCTCAGCGCCAAAAGGCTGCCCCCAGTTCAGGTGCCAATGCCAAGTCCCAAGTTGTCACCTGTACTTCTGACAGACTGGCTATCAATGAAAGTTTCTCTGACCCTCCCCCTTGGGTTTGATAATTTGCTAGAACAGCTCACAAAATTCAGGAAAATACTTGTCTGTTGGCTTATTATAAAAGACATAATAAAGAACAGCCCAAGGAAGTGATGAGTGGGAAAGGAGGCGGAGCTCAGATGCCCTCTTCTGGTCCACCACCCTCCTGGCACATCCACGCACTCACCAACCTGGAAGTTCTCCCTATCCTATCCTTGTGGGTTTTATGACACTTTCACCATGATTGATCATTAACTCAATCTTTCCCATTCTGGGATGATGGCAGGGAGGGGGGGCGGGCTACAAGTTCCAAGCTTCTAATCATGGCTTAGTCTTTCTCCCGCCCACTAACATTGCTTCATTAGAAAAAAAAGACACTCCTGTCACCCAGAAAATTCCAAAGAATTTAGGAGTTCTGTTTCAGAAATGCTCCTCCTAGTGCTCTAATCACTTGGGAAATTACAAAGGTTTTAGGAGCTCTGGGCCAGGAACTGGGGACAGAGACCAATATGTAATTTTTGTATTATTTCACACCAGGGAATATCAGAGTGTGACCACTCACAGAAGGAACATGCACTCAGGTGAGCCACAGGTGCCGACCACCCCATGAACTCGCTCCAGAGTCAGGGGTAGGGAGCGGTGAGCAAACTGATGATCCAAGTGAGGACACCGCATAAGTGCAGAAAAGAAAGAGCGTCCAGGAGACTGGGCCTGTCCTGGGGTGATGATCTGCACCCCAGCCCCACCCAGGGCTGGGCCCGCTCTGAGCCCTGCCTCTGCTGTGGCCCCCAGGACCCCCCCACCCCCCACTGAGTGCCTTTGTTTCAACTCTGACTTCTATTCCAGCTCAGTCTTGGGAAAGAACGTGTCAGTTAGTGGCTGGTCCCAGCCCAAGGCTGACACATTCCTCCCCTTCCTGGGTGCGGGGTGGAAACCCCAAGAGGCTTGGTTGGGATGCCAAGGAAGGCATGTTGGCATTTTAGAATGTTGGTAATTTGCAAACTGCATAAAATCTGTGTGTGTGTGTTCCAGAATCCTGGAAGCCCTGGGCATTGCTGTGGGCATCCAGAGGACCCCCGGTACTGAGAAAGAATGGGTGGCAAGGATGGCTGGCCCCAGGCCTCTGATTTCCACTGCCCCCACCCCCAACCCCTGTCACACTGCTTGGGAGCCACAGTGGGCAGGAACTAGCCTCTGGGAAGCCTCTTCTTCGGGGTCAGAACATCTGGCAGGATCCCTAAGTTGACGTTCCAAGGATTGAAATTTCCTCTTGTTTTTGCCCAGAAACGTCTGGCTTGGTCTGCCCTCCCTCTGGCCTCCCCTCCCCCCCCCCCACCCCCGCCTACCAGCCTGCCTTTCTGTCTTTGGCATTGGAACGTTCTGGTCAGCGCTGGGCTCCGTGGTGTGGGCAGCCAGCAGGAGACAGGATCTGGAGGGACTCAGGACACTGCCTGGCCGCGGCTTCTCGTGAGGCGTTGGCCCTGACTCCCGAGTGCTGGGGACACGCCTGCCCCCAGGGCCCGAGGAGAGAGAGGGACGAGCCCTGAGAGCCTCCCGGGGGCTTCACTTTCCTCTCCTTCCCGGGTCCTCACTGCCTGTTCCTCCCTTCCAGATGGATCCCAAGCCAGCCTGAGGCTTTCAGATGGGGAGCCCAGGAGGGGCAAAGTGGGAGGCAGGACAAGGGGTGGGTGGGGGTATGGGGGAGAGGGGGCACAGCCTGGCCCACACTCACCTCCATGGCCTTGTGTGAACTGCCCCCTCCAGGGCCCTAAGGAAGCTCCTTCAGTGCCTCAGAGCATCAAAGACCACCGCCCACCCCCCACTTTGGAGCTGCGTTGCCTGGATGGGCATAGGAGGGTAGGAGACAGGCAAGTGAAGGGCCAAGAGACACCTCAGTGTCTGGCTAGAAGGCCTGAGCGCAGGTGCCGATGGAGGCCAGACAAGCAGGTTACAGAAAGCCGATGGGGGCAATTGTGGCCACAGGAACTCTCCCTGTAAACCTAGCATCCTGACAACGGCCCCCAGGAACTAGAAGTCACAAGGCCACCTCCCCGTGGAAGAGAAGCATCTATGGAATGGCCAGTGGCACAGGGCCTGGGCTGGGAACTGTGGGGGCCACAGATAATGACTGAGCTGCCCCTGCCCTTGAGTGGCTCAGGCTTGAGGACCAGTTTTGATGGGCACAGGCGCACTCAGCACCTCCTGGAGGGTGGGGAAGCTGGAGCAGGGCTGCGGGTGCTCTGGGAGCACAAACGGGACAGCCATGCTGACCCGGGGCACCCCAGGAAGGCAGCAGAGTGGAGGTGGCCGCTGCGCTGGGGTTCACAGGGGAGCTAAGTCCATGGGCAGAGGTGGAATGGTGGGCGCAGCATTGGCAAGCAGCCCCGAGAAGCCCAGAGCCTGGCTCTGTTGGGCTTGGTGAGAGAGACCCCTCTTCCTCACCTCGGGCCCTATATTCTGCCCTCCGAGCACAGGTCCCACTGAATCTGCTCAGGGCTGAGGCAGGGCAGGCAGGAGGAGGGTGGGGGCCCTTCACAGATGAGGGCCTGGGTACCAGGCTCTGAGGAGGGAGGCTTCGGGGAGCCCAGAGAGCCTGCTGATCAGGTGGGAAAAGCCCCAGACACAGCCAGGGCCCTGCCCCGCCTGCAGCCCTCAGAAAGGCCACTTCCTGCAGGCCCGGGACACAGGCAGGCCAGCGGAAGTGACTGCTTTGCTTTGCGAGCATGGCCTGAGAGACCCTGGGTTCTGGCTGAGAACTGGGTCAATCTCACACCCACTCCCACCCTGCCCAGCGGCTGACCCAAGAGAGGCCCTGACCTCCCCTGCAGCCTCTTTCTGTCTGTGTCCCAGGGAACAGGCTGGGGCAGGAGAAAGATCAGGCCACCAGAAATGCTCTGATGTCAACCGGGATGACATCCCCAGTAGAGCCACGGGGCCCCTACAAACAGGTGTGATGACAGCTTTCCAGAAAGTTCGGCCTGGGTGGGGGTGGGTGAGCACTTCCTGCCCTGCCTGAGAGGGCAACAGTCAGTGTCTTGGGGGAGGGGCTTGTCCTCAACCCTCCAGAAAGAGGCCAAGATTCTCACCCAGAGCTGGACTGGAGGCTCCAGGAGTGAGACCCAATTCCCATTTCCTTGTCATCCCCTCTGCCCCAATGCCCCAGCCCATTTCTTACTTGATTCATTTATTCAATCAACAAATGTTTAATGCCAGGGACGAGGGTATGGTTAACAAAAAGACACAGACTCCGAGACCTCATGGGGACTACCACCCTCTCTGATAAAGTCCTGCCTTTCTCTGAGGTTCAGCAAGACACCACCTCCTCCAGGAAGCCCTTCATGATCACACAGCTGTCCTGGGACCTTAGGATAGCCTTGTGTGATTGGGTCTGCTTCCCTGGAACCAGTGTACAGATGAGTCTCAGTAAGCAGCAGCCACAGCTCCCATCAGCACCAGTACCCACCATCATCATCATCAATGAGAGATAATATTCCTTGGGTCCTGTCAATCCCTTGCCTGCCTGTGGCAGAGAGGACCCAAATGTTAACAGCACACACACAGTGGGCCCTACTTAAGAAAACTCAGCTCTAAAAATCCCAACAGCCAAAACTTACAGGTAGAGGCCATGGGCTCACCCCCTGAGGAGGTCTCCCCTAATAGCTGAGTACTGAAGGACCATGGCACCCCTGCCTAGGGGTGGGCCACAATCTAAAGGGAGGCCTGTCTGTCAGTCAGTCCTAAAATGCCCTGAGGTCACCACCGCAAGTTCACTTTCCACCTGGAGCAACTTCCATCTGGGCTGCCCCCAGCAAAGGCGCTTCAGGCAACACTAAGGTGGTGCGGGCTCCATGGCCTCTCAAATGCACGGGCCTGGTCCTCAGACCCTCGTCCATCTTGCCCTTCTGAGGAGGAGGGGCAAGGCAGAGTCTCCTCCCAGGGCTCAAAGCCTGTTAGTATCCTTAGCTGCTGGCAAGGACATGGAGTCCATGCCCAGCTAAAGAGAAAGATTCCTGGGTGATGAACTGGAGCACTTGGCTGGCAGGACAGTTGGTTCTTGTGCCCTTGCCAGGCCTGCAACTGAAGCCCCAGGAGAGAGCGTGAAGGCCTGGATGAGGCCCAACAGACCCAGCCCTGCAGCCAGACCTAAGGCATCATCCTGGGGAAAGAACATCCACGAGCAGTCAGGCACTGATTCGGCTTGATAGCTCCTGACCTCTTCCTCCACTGGTGGCCAAGGGCAAGGGTCAGCTGTGTGACCCTGACTGAGGGCAACTCGAGTCTTGGATGACACCTGCTGCAGGGGAGATGGGTGAGCAAGGCACAGGACCCTGCAGCCTGGCTTGGCAGCAGGCCCCTTCTAAGAACAGTGGTGGGGGATGGGAGGTGAGGCGTGCGGTGTGAAGCAGGGTGGAGCCAGGACCTGGCCTGACCCTTGACCCACGGCAGGCTGATGAGGTTGTCTCTGAAAGGAAACAAAACTGTAAGGAGTCAGAGATGGGGTCTCCCAAGGCGGTGCCTTCCCTTCCTGGACCCACGTCTTCCCTTCCTGTAGGTCCTGACTCCTCGGGCACATTCCTCTCTGCGCTTCAGTGGCTGAGGCCGATCGCCGCTCCACCTCACATGCTGACCCAGGGCAAACGTTCTGCCCACGGCTTTTACTTTGCTTCCAAGGGCACCATCTGTTATCATTAGAGCATCTTGCAGAACAGGGCATGGGCCAGCCCTTTGGGATAAGTTGAGGGCAGCCAAGGCATGCCTTCCGCCATCTATTGTGGTAGCCAGATGTGGCCTTAGAGAAGCCAAGGCCACCCCTTGGGGACCTCAGGGGGAGCAGGAGGCTTCCCAGCCACTCTCCCAGCTCAGCCATCTGTATGCAGCCACCAGGGCAATCTCCTGAAAGCAAATAGCAGACCTGCCACCCTGCTGAAGGCTCCTGTAGCTTCCAGTGCAATCCATCTGGCCCCACCCACTCTCTGGCTTCAGTCCAGCCAAGCTGCTCCAGAACACAGGGGTGCCTCCCCTCCTCACGGCCTCTGCACTTGCTGGTCCCCCCAGTGGAGTCTGAATGCCATCCCCGCCCCCTGGCCTCACTCACCCTTCTCACCATTCGGGCTGGGCTCATCCCTGTGATTGCTGCCCTCCCCCCACATGCTGTCTGTCCCAGTCCATGCCCCCCTCACAGCCCACGCCGGAACCAACGCCACCTGCTTCTGGACCTCTCGGTGTCCCCTGCCAGGCTGCACGTTCCTTGAGAGCTGAGAACTTGAGCCTTTCACTCAGACCGTCTCCAGTCCCTGGTGCAGCACAGGGCAGCCAGGGAGTCTGCGTGAATGAAGGCCCTCTAAAGGCTATTACTGGCCACCCGAGCCCTTGGCTCCTTCCAGGCCCTAACTCCTCAGGGCTCAGGGAAGCCACAGTCCGGCGGCTGGGGCCACAAGGGAAGCAGACCCGAGGGTGGAAGCCTGGGGGCCGAGCCAGCCCCTGCCCAGCCTGGTGACTAGGGTATGGCCTCACCTGCCCCAGTGGCCTGTGCCCCTCTGGCAGGCAGCTTTGAGAAGGCCGCTGGTGCCTGGAATCAGCTGCAGAAATCCTCTCCTGTCCAAAGGAACGCTGTCCTGGTGCTTCTACTCCCTGTTTATCAGGCAAGAGAGGTTCTCAGGGAGTGGGGCAGTGCCCAAGAGACTGGTGGCTGAAGCTGGGCACTCCCTGCCTGGGCACCAACTCCGGGTGAAGGGACAGAACTGCCTGGCCTGGCCTTCCAAGCTGACCCAGCTTTAGTAAGTTGCCCTGCACCCTGAATCTGCCCTGAGCCCTCTGTCCAGGCAGAACCGCCTGAACCAGTTTGTGAGGCTCAGGGAGGCCAAGGGCTTGTAAATTCGTGGAAGCACTTCTGACCCTTCCTACCTGGTCCCTCTGTCCTGCGGGTGAGACCATACGCAGGCCCTGGGTGCCTCACACTTTGCCTTCCCCGCTCTCCCTCATGGCGGTGGCTCCAGTCAAGAGCCGGCTGGAGTGTTGCCGCCCCTGGCAGCGGGCCTGGCCTGCTGAATCAGAGTTAGCACTCGAAGGAGATCCTCAGGGTTCTGTCTGCAAGCGAAGGATTGAGAACTGGGCCGGGAGGACAACTCACCCGGGGACTGGAGCCGATGGTGGGCTTCCAGGCACTGCACTGTGTGGTCTGGGGGGGATTTCCTGGCCCCAAAGTCACCTAGCTGACAGTGAGCCCCTCTCTGCCACAGTGGCTAAGGCCAGCCAGGCTATGGGGGGAAGGACTGATACAGGAGACTGTCTTGAAGGACCACAGTTCCATGGCCGGGTGTGGGCCAGGCATCAGGAGGCTGCCATTCAAGCTCTAGCCCCAGTACACATTTGCTGAGCAAGGCAGCTTGCTGCACTTGGAACTTCCCCACTCAATAGCACCATACCCAGGGGCAGGCCTGGGCCGGAGACCACACGGGAGAGCTTGAAACCTGGAAGGCTCATACAGAGCTGGCTCCTTTTCCTTACTTGCTGTCTGTCTGTTTAGATAACTCACACCAGATGAACAGCAGGTGCTAGGCCACAGTCACAGTGCCTGGATAGCCGGGGCTCCGTCCCTTGGAACCAGCCATAGTGAGGTGCTAACATCTAAGCCCGTGGGAACTGCCAGCGTTCTCAGGGATGCCCAGCGTGGTGGACAGTTGTTGACACTGGCCACTTAGCATGGTTTCAGTCCTTGATCACAGAGTTGCATCTGAAGTAGGAATACTCCTGGGCTTTTCAACCACATGAGTGAACAAACCTTTTTATTATTAAGTCAGTCTGGACAGGGTTTCTGTCACTTGCAATAAGAGTCCTAACAGAAAACACTGCTTTCCCCAGCAGAGGGAGGGATGAAGACAGGACTGAGGGGCATCAGACACCTAGAGGGAGCTCAGACTGGGCCAGAGGGCTTGGCAGGCCTCCCTGGACCATGGGGAGCTCAGACTGCAGTCCCTGAGGCTGGCAGACACCCACAGCATGGCAGTCTCCTGCCTTGCTCTGGGTGAGCTCACATGTCTGGCCTGACGAGGCCCAGCCAGCCTGACAGGTAGGCATCAGCAAGGTGGGTGGGTAGGTGCTGCTTTCCTGGAAGCCTCTCTGGACCCACAGTCTTTTCTGCAAGGGGGCAGGGCCAGGTGTGGTGGCTGAAGGCCTCAGAAAAGAGGGGACCTCACTCCAGTCCTACCTTCTCTCTTGTCCCTAAAGGTGCCTGGGATCGTCTAATTCTGGAGCTACAGCTCAAAGGGCTGAGAAAGGACATTTGCTCCCAAGAGGCCTAGGTATCTGGGGATTGCTAAATGAAAAGGTAATCACCTTAAGTGGAACTAGAAGGATGCCAATATCCAAAAAGAGGCACTGGGGGTTTGGAGAAAAGGAGCCCCTTCCGTTGTGCCCACTACCCATGGAGTAGGGAGGGCCCTGCGGGGGTCTGGGCAGCTTGGGGAACTCTGCCCTCTCAGGGGTCCGGGCAGAGGCATCTGCTTGGACCGAAGTGACCAGGGAAGCCCTCCCTCACGTCTGCAGACCTGGGGTCAGCTGTGGAAGGATGACCAGGACACGCCCGAGGCGTAGAACTCCACGCGGCTGGGCCAGTCCGCATCCCCACTGCCCTCCCTGTCCTCGTCTGAGTCATCGTCGTCTCCACTGGACGCCCCGCAGACGGCCCCAGCCAGGTAGGCCGACGGCCCGGGGGACCCGAGGCCCTGCTCCTCCACGTCCTCCTTCTGCTGCTGGGCGGCCAGCTCGCGGAAGCAGAGGCTGCAGACGCGCAAGGGCTTGGGCGAGAGGCGCGGCAGGAGGAAGCGCTCGCGGGAGCACTCGGCACAGACCACGAAGCCGCATTTGCGGCAGTGGTGCCGCCGAGTGAGCGCCGAGAAGCGCGTCTGCGTGCAGCGCATGCAGATGTCTGTGGCCTTGTCGGGGATCCAGGGCGCCGCGTGCTCCGTGCTGGGCTGCAGGCCCGTGGCCAGCAGCTGCCGCCGCACGCACTCCTCAATGTGGCTGATCCACTCCTGGCGTTCCGTGGCGGAGGCAGCTGACACCACGAAGGACTTCTTGGCCGTCTTGATCATCCAGCGGTTCTTGGCCTGCAGCGTCTCCGGCAGCGTCTCCAGGGTCACCTCCTCCAGCGGAATGATGTGCTGGCTACGGTACTTGCGCTTGTTCAGCACGATGCTGCCGTACACCAGGATGTCGTTGAAGAGGAAGAAGATGCGCGGTTTGGCCTTCTTGCGGCACTCCTTGGTCAGCACTCCTTCACCCAGCAGTACTCGGCCCGGCAGGGCCAGTGGCTGCCCTGATGCACCGAAGCAGCTCTCGACAGCCGCGATGCGCTGGCTGTTGATCTCCGTGTTTGCCAGGTAGTCCACCATCTTCGGCCACTCGGCTGTGGGAGGAGCGGCAGAGGAGGCCGTCAGCTTGCTCTGACACAGCTGGGGGTCAAGACCACCCCCAACCCCCAGTTGCCCAACCCATAGGTCAGACAACCCACTAATTACCCCGACTGCAACCCAGGAGGCCCAGATGTGCCACTCCACCAAAGAAACTGGCTGCTCCAGAAGCCACCCCTTAGACCCGGAGTTACTGGGAGGTGAGGGGCATGTGGAAGCCAGTCCAGGATGGGAAGGCAGTAGTAAAGATGTGTGACTGAGCGGGGGGCGGCGGGGGGCTCAACCCTTGGGGAGCTTTGGAAGACAGGGTAGAACAGGTCTCAACACCATCCACCGTCCAAGAGACAAGGACACTGAGCCCCAACTCCCATCAGGGGCTTCCAGGAGCACTAACTACCCAATGCTTTGGGCCTGCCCCAGGCAGAAGGGTGCAGAAGCCTGTACCAGCTGGGGAAAGCCAGATAATGGATTGCTGCAACCCCACAGGTCACTGACTCCCCCATCTACCAAGCCAAAACATCACAGACCCTGCAACCCACTCACTCAGCCCATGGGCCCATTCACTAGCCCTCAGGAAGCACCTACTGTGTGCTCAGCAACGTTCCATGCACGGGGGATACAGTGAATAAGAAAAGGCCCTGTTCTGATGGAACGCCACCAACACCAACATCACAGGCACCACTGCAGAGGGCTTCCCCCATGTCAATCATGACTATCTCAACTTGTCCTCACACCAACCCGAGCTGGGAGAATTACCACTGACAGAAGGAAACTGAGGCTCTGTTAGGAATCAGGCAGCCCAGAGCCTGCACCACTGGAGACCACACTGCTCAGAGCCCTCCCCCATGGAGGAGAGGCCTCTGTCCTCCTCTGCCAAGCGCTCCACGTGGTAGCCCCAGATCTCACCTGGACCTCCTCTGCTCTGCCCACACCCACTCCCTTTGACCCACCAGACTCACGGCATTGAAGACACCCAGACACTGCTGACCCAGGTCAAGCCTGCAGTCCCAGCTCTCCCCTGAGCTGCCCCCGTGACCTCCCACCAGATCCTCTTCTTTTCAGAAACAAACCACCACTCACCTAGCTGTGGAAGCCCGAAATCTAGGACTCATCCTTGAACCTCCTCTTTCCTGTCATCCAACATTCAACCAGTGAGCAAGCTCCATCATTTTTCTCTCTCACACTTGGCCCTGGTTTGCCCACTTCTCATCACACAACTCCAGCAAGGCTATCTCCCTTTCTGAAAGAGTCTCTCTGACAACCCCAGCTCAGGCAGCTTCTCCCGCAACCCAGGAAAGGGTTGGCAAATCATGGCCTGAGGGTCAAATCTGGCCCACAGCCTGGTTTTGTGAATAAAGCTTTATTGGAACAGAGCCGTGTCATTCATTTACAGTGATCTGTGCTGCTTTCCTGCAGCAAAAACAGAGCTGAGAGCTGTGATAGAGACCACATGGTCACAGAACCTAAAATTCACGGTCTTTACAGAGAAAGTTTGCCAACCCCTTCTGTAGGATGTTACCCTATTGGATTTGTCAGGGCCTGATATTTTCTTGCCTATCGATTGTTTGCTTGCATGTTTTCTATTTCCCTCACCCACTTCAAAATTCCATCAGAACAGGATTCTTTTCTTATTCACTGTATCCCCAATACCTGGAACAGTGCTAAGCACACAGTAGGTGCTTCCTGAGTGACTAGTGAATGAATGAACCAAAGCTCCCTCAGGCCCACTGTGGGAGGAATGAGCCTCCACCTCCTGTCTCTAGAGGAAGCAGAAGAGAGCTGACCCACAGCTGCCGCCACCGCCGCCGCCACCACGTGCACACGAGCACAGAGCACTCTCCTGACCAAACCGATCACACTCACAGAGTTTCTAAGTCACCACACTGCAGTTCCGTAAGTCTGGCCACCTGTGGGAGGCTGAAGTGGGGCCAGTGCGGGGGCTGGATGCATTACACAACAGGGGTGCTCAGCCCCGAGGCACGTATCGCTTGCCCCTTTCAGACCACAAGCTGTCCTGAGAAGTGCTGTCCACACCACCTTATGTAAGAACCACTCTTTTTAGGCTGCTGAACTGGGCTGCATGTTGCAAACCCAGCTGGTTATCAGTGGCAGCCCTGGGCCATCCTGTTAGGACCAGTCACCACGTCCCTGATGTGGACAGTCTAGCAACATTCCAGAGGCCACCCCCAGGACCCCTAGGGTGGGGTGGATGAGGGTTCCGCTGGAGAAGCTCAGAGCATAGCAGCGGGAGAGGCACCAACAGCAGTGACTTTGGGACCTGTGGCAGCAATAACAGAGATTCTTGGCAGAGGGGAAAGGGCAGAACAAAGGGTGAGCTGGGTGCATTCACACAAAGGGCTACTGTCAGCACCCAATCCATGTGGGTCAACATGGAGTGACAATAGACACCAAATGCTGAGTGGAAAAAGCACCCTGCAGAATGATCTGACCCTGTGTATGCAGAAATTATGCATTTAAGAAGTGTTCATGAACTATATCTGTAAATAAAAATGGACAGGATGGAGCCTTGCACCCATGAGGATGGCTGCTATAAAAAAAAACAAAAACAGGAAATAAGTGTTGGCAGGGGGATGTGGAAAAGTTAGAACCTTTCATGCACTGTGGGTGGGAATGTAAATTCATGCAGTCACTGGGGAAAAAAGTATGGAGGCCCCTCTAAAAATTAAAAATAGAACTACCATATGATTCAGCAATCCCCTTCTGATTATTTATCCAAAGAATTGAAAGCAGGATCTCCAAATGGTATTTGCACACCCATGATCATAGCAGCATTATTCACAACGGTCAAGCAGTGGAAGCAACCCAAGTGTCCACTGATGGATGAATGGATAAACAAAATGTGCTATGGACATACAATGGAATATTATTCAGCCTTAAAAAGATATCCCGTCACTTGCTACAATATGGATGGATCTTGAAGACATTATGCCAACTAAAATAAGCCAGTCACAAAAAGACAAATACCACATGATACCACTAACATGATACACCTATAGTAGTCAAATTCATAGAAACAGAAAGTAGCAAGGTGGTTACTCGGGCTAGGGCTGGAGAAGGAGGAAGAGCAGGGGACGGGGGGGTGAGAGCGAGAGGAGAGTTGTTATTTAATGGGTTTAGCGTTTCAGTTTTGCAAGATGGAAAGAATTCTTGAGACATTTCACACCAATAGGAATATACTTAATACTACTGAACTGTAAGCTTAAAAATGGTTAAGATGGTTTATAAAAAAAGATGGACACAAAGCAAGATCAGGAGACAAATGGCCTGGGGGAGGACACCTGAATGTCATTAGGCATGTTAGATCAAAGATTCCAGCTTTATCTACAATATTTTATTTCTTTCACTAAAAAAAAAAAAAAAAAAGGCAGCAGCATATGTGATAAAGTCCGAGTACCAATCAATTCCGGGAAGGGGGAACATGAACTTTTTCTTTCTCTCTTTCTAAATATAAGGTCCTCAAAAAGAAAAGAAGTATAGTATAATGTCTGGGTCAACAGCTGTAGGCTCTACTAGCCTCACAGTGGGTGACCTGGCTGGGTCTCCCCTGAGCACACAGCAGCAGGGCCCAGGCTGCAGGACATGCTACGATGAACATCTCAGGATGGAGCACCAGTTGTTCGCTCCAAAACTCCTGGGTGTCGCCACCTGGCAGAAGCGGGTGAAACCCCAATCTCACAGGCACACTCTGAGGTCAAGCATGTTCAGCACCGAGGCAGACGGAACTTAGATGGAGTGAAGAGCAGGCGCCCCCCTATTGCTCTCCCTCCCCCCACAACCCTGGCCTGGTGGGGTTGGGTGAGCTCTGGAGGCAGACTTGCTCAGAATCCACCTCTGACTAGATGCTATCCAGGTGGGCTGCATGGAGGAAGTGAGGGGCAGTGCCCATGGAGGGGAGAGCTTTGGGCAGGGGAGGGCCTGTAACACTGTCTCCCTGTGCCTTGTAGGAGGCCCCAGGATGCCCCACACTGCTGGGTCCCTCATCAGTGGTTTACAGACCCCCTCCAGGCCCTGGTAGACCCCATTCAGCTGTTGGCAGCAAAACATGGTCCAGGAAGGATGGGGAGTCCCTGGTGACCATGAAAGGGGTCTGGGCTCTGAGCTGAGCCCACACACAGACAGGATATTGGGAAGGCTTTCGTGCCTCCTCCTCCGTGGGCCTGCAGTGAGTAGCGGCTGGGGTGAGGGGCCAGCAGACAGCATCCTCCTGGGGAGCTCCCCGACATCTGCCCACCACAGCTGCTACCACAACCAGAAATTCACTTCACACCTGGTTTAACATAGCCTGGAGATTTTTTTCTCGGCCATGTCAACAGCTTATTTCCCTGATGAGGGATCCAACCTGCACCCCCCTGCAGTGGAAGTGTGGAGTCTGAGCCATTGGACCCCCAGGGAAAGCCCCAGGAGATTTTCCTGGTAAATGTGGCAGCAACCCCACCTCCCCATCCCCTACCCCTCCCAGCAAATGAGAAATCCTCTTTTTATTTTTCTTACTAAAGAAGTGAACTACCCTCCCTTAGGACAGGGCGGAGAGAGAGCTGAGCCTGTGCCCATTCCTTTTGTGGCTGCCTGCCTCAGGACAGCCTGTGCTGACCTCCCTGTGTGGTACCCCAAGTGCTGACAGAAGGTGGACACTCATGAAGGGCCAGTGTCTGGGAGCAAATAAGGAAACAGGCCAGCTCTTTCTTGCATGTTTTGGAAGTGGGGCAGGCTCCAGGCCTGGCCTTCCTAAACACCAGTGATCCCACCATCTGAATTAGGCCAACGGCTCTCTCAGTGAGTAGGCCATGCTCCAGATGTCACTGGGTGGCCAGGGTTCTATGACTGACACGTGACCTACACCAGGGGTAGCAAATCTACACCAGGCCCGAACCACTGTCAGCTTTTCTACATACAATTTATTGGAACATAGCCACATGTAACAGAGATGGGCCTGCAAAGCCTAGAATATTTACCATTTGGCC